TCTGACCAAACTGGAGAGTGAAAGATACCTGTACACCATTTTTATGCCACCTCCTCCCCCAAACATGCCAGGAACTTTCAGATGGCAGTCTGGTCCAACCTCAGGGTTGCTCTGAACTACATTAACTGCTAATGATCCTGAGGAATCCAGGGATTGCTGGGGTGTAGAGATGCCTCTGGAAAATTTCTTTTCCAACTTCTTTCTCACATGTCCCATCCTGCCTGTGCCATGTCCCATATGACAGGACTTATACGGGCATATAGTATAGGAATTAATTATGCTGGCTCTGTGCCTCATGAGGATTCTCCAACATAAGCAGGCCCATTAGTGGACATACTGCCCAATTTCTGCCCCTTTTTGCCTCTGTCTATGAATGATGACAACAGTTGAAAAAACTGAGAGTAAAGTGCATTCCCCAATCAGCAACTGAGCCAGGATTTTGAGCACCTATTAAAAGGTTCTCTGCTTCCAAGAGAGTTGATGGAAACTAGTATGTGCCAGGATATTTTTACTCAAGTGCTTACAGCAGCATTATTCTCCCTTATTATTCTCCCAGAACTGCTGGTTATTTTACTACATAAACAACAATATGCAGGCATATTAGGGTGATTTATAGATGGATACGGAGATGCCTCATTAAGATAAAATGACCTGGTTTTTATGTTTAAGGCAGATCCCTAGGGCCAAAGAAGTCTCCTCAAGGTCTGCCCCAGTAAGCTGCGGTATAATTTTAATCTTCTGTTCCCAGTATAAATAGTCTGAAGCTGAGCATACCTTTACCTGGCAGTTTTGCTGAGCTATTTTTAGATGACACACGCCAGATGTTGACAGAAACACATAATTTTCCCAATGTGAGTAAAACAACTGGGCAATTGTTGACAGGGAAACAAATGCCTCATTTGAACACAGCTATTTTTATGGGCATGTGAGGTTTTGTGTACGTGCAAATACATGCTATCACAGGTATTACGGTCATAATTACAGCAGTGCTATAAAAATGTCTGTTAAAGCCTGATTCTGTTGTGAAAAGTGACTGTACAAATTGCATTGCAGGGTTCCATGTATACATCTACCCTGGCACATCCAAATTAAATCTGCTCAGTTTACAAATAAAATGCTGGTGGTGGACTCCTAACTGTGAATTCAGCATCAGATCTGAAAGCCAGCCTGTGCTCTTTCTGTTTCCTGTATCATTAGCAATAAAGATTTGGGAACTTAGTTCACAGTTCTGTTGTTGATGCAGTGAATTCTCTCTCTCTCAGAGGCTGATCCATCCTCTACTAAAGTCAATGTGAGTCTTTCCATTGGATTCAATGGGAGTTAAATCTCTCCTTTTAGCAGTGTAGGCTCTACAATGCTAATATGAGTTCACACCAACAAAACCCGTTAGTATATCAGAAGGTTTGACTATCAGTAAGTGGATAACAAAATCCACTTGTTGAGCTAGCAAGTAGTATATGTTATATGAAGTATTTTTTTCTTAATTTTCTATAGACTAAAAACTAGGATTCATTCAATTTTTTTCAAATAAAAGATTTATAGAAGTCATGATATTACCACCCAGGAAAAAAAATATCTTGAAACAGAATTGTCATGGTGCATATATGACAGCTGTTCTCACATCTCTCATTTTCCCCATCTCCAAGTTTCATTGATTTTTAAATGAGATTTGCAGGGTAAAGGGTTTTTTTATTACATACTAGGTATATTTTACTCTTCATAACAAATTAAATAGTGTATGTGAGAAGCGTCCATGGAATATAGATACCTGTTTTACCCATGAAGGAGCTGTTGTGTGGACCACAAAGAATGCTACATGATGTGGCAGTTATTATAGCAGCCACACATTTTATCTGATTATGTCTATAAAAAGTTCTGTTGTAAATCTTGCAGCTCATTCCTCTCAGCACATGTATGTTGACCTGAGGTAATTTTATTTCCCCCCTAAAAACCCACTTCCTCAGATGAACTTAAGAAGAAGTGGATTTTGCCCACAAAAGCTCACGTTATTATATATATAGATATATTTGTTAGTCTCTAAGGGTATGTCTACACTACGGGACAAAGTTGAGTTAAGATATTCAACTTCAGCTACGTTAATTGCATAGCTGAAGTTGAAGTAGCTTAACTGGGCTTTTGGTGCTGTCTACACTGCAGGAAGTTGAAGGAAACACACTCTTCCTTCAACGTCCCTTACTCTTGTGAAAGCAGGGTTATCAGCATCAACTGGAGTGCCCCTCTCACTTTGAATTAGCTGTCTTAAGTAAACTGCTAATTCGAACCCTGGAAGATCAAAAGCGGCAGCTTCGATCTTCCTCTGTAGCACAGATGTACCATAAAGTGCCACAGTACACTCATTGTTTTTACAGACCTTGTTTTCCATGTTTTCCTATTTTTGATTTTGAGTTTGAAATAGTTGGACGCTGAAGCTTCTGCAAAGTATTTAAAAAACAGGTTCCGTTTCCTGTGTCTACAAAATTTGCAAACCCTTATCTCTTATAAATCAAAGGGTGCCAGGCATCATGACCCAGACCTTTCCCAGTTCATTTTAATCTCTCTTCACAGCCTCTGTTGACTGAATTTTCAGTATTTGTTTTGATCAGTTGTTCATTTCAATTGGGAGAGGGAATATTTTATTTTCCACATCACCATATAGTTTTCCACTTAGGCTTACAGGTAGTCCCCGAGTTACGCGGATCCGACTTATGTTGGATCCACAGTTACGAACGGGGATTTTCTCGCCCCGGAGGACTCGAGCGGCGGGACGCCTGGTCCCGCTGCCCACCTCCTCCGGGGCGAGAAAAGCTGCTCCCCGTCTCCCTGGTCTGCTGCGGGAGCCAGCAGACCAGGGAGATGGGGAGCAAAGCGGCGGAGGGCCCGGGGGCCGGCCCGCCGGCCGCGT